TTCCACCAGAATATTATGGAGGATACACAAGATTCTCATTCTCTTAAATCAGTCCCATCTATGTGCAAGTGTAACATGCTGTGTATGAGTTATTCACTTAACTGCCCTGGAGGAGGTGGTCTGTACTGTATAAGTATTTGTGTATATATATTCTAATTAAACAAGTGAAGAAACTGTTGTACAACAAACAGAAATTTACTAATCACATCCATTTTTATCTTAAGTGCATATGGTTCAAAAATTCTGAACAAGAAGGAGGCTTCGGATCTGCTTCAGCTCTTGTTGCTTCCTGAAGAGCAGACAGGAGAAATTCTAAGAATGCCTTAGAATGGAAAGAATGAAGGAGCTTTGCTTCCACAAAGTACTGGAAATGTCCTCAGACATCTCAATAGTCGTGGATATTACAGAATTTTGCTAGTCTTCCTGTAATCATTGGTCCAAATGCTGTCAAGAGTTGTATTTTAGAGAATGGATGACATGTGCTTACCTATTTGGGCTTTACAGAGTTTTGAGGCCATATATAATTTTTATTCTTATCTTCCTAAAGAAAAGACTTTATGATCATCCTGCATTTTACAACTTTTCTTTCCATAGTTTATAGTGTAGATGAGCTAGCAGAATTCTATGTCCTCTGAAGTCAAGGGCTCCCTATAGAAAGAGAGCAAGCTGCTGTAAACAGAGCACAAAGAAATTGCCTTTTTTTGTCATGGACATGACTCCAGCTGAATAGAGAGAGAGATGGAGACAGGACAATTTTGCTTTGCCTCTATCTACTTTGAACTGATAAATGGTATCTTTCTTGTGTCTACAGATTTTTTAAAAGATCCCTGGAACCTCAGTCTGCAGGATGGACAAATTTGACAATGTACTATCAATCTCTGGAGAGTAAGTAGTGTCATTATTCTACTAAGAGAAGTTAGAGAAATTAGCACAACAGGACTTTGGATATGTCTTTTTATCTGTCTTTCCAGCTGTACCTGATCTCCTAGGCTTGGTCTTGCGGGTCTTGCCAGTGTTAAAATCCCTTTGGAAGTGAAGTGACCTAGTCACAGAGGAGACCATGTAGTGTAATAATTTAAGTGATGTGCTATTATTTCAATAGCAACTCCTGTTTATTTATTTGAGTTTTGATACTTGGCAACTTCTGATGAAGAGGCATTATTGTCTAAATCAATAAAGTTAGATGTTTATAGGTAAATATCCCTCTTTCCTCTCCATCTTCATAAGCAATGCTTTAAGGAGTACAGTAGTTTCAGCTATTTCATGCCAAGAATACAGTCCCATGCAATATTGCTGACATCACCTCAACATGGATTTGTAAGGGCCAAGGTTATATGCCTAATAAGACAGCCTCTATCCTCATCATCACTCTCAACTTGTAGCATGGTGAATATTTATTCTTCTTATAGAGCAGATGATTGAGCATTTTTTTGATTTTGGAGAAAAGCTTAGAAACGTCACTTTTTTCTTTTGAGGTTTAATCCGAATTTAAGAATTTTTGGACTGAATAGATGTTCTATATTTTTTGGTGTGTTGTTTTTTTTTTTCTCCAAAGAATTTTTGGACTGAATAGATGTTCTTTATTTTTTGGTGTGTTTTTTTTTTTTTCCTCCGAATACAGTGCAGTTGTTATTCTGTTTTCTGTATGTTACCACACCTAAGAAAATGTGTGTCCTTATGTAGCACATGCAAATGAACATGATTCATCCAGGCTGAGTCACTGTTACTCTGGAATTCAGATAGCTGTGCTGTGCTGACCCAGTGTGTGCAATATTCAGGCCTGTGAATAAACAAGTTCCAGAATGAAATCAGTTCAGTAAGAGAAGGTTGTTGCTGACTGAGCTGGAAAATGCTGTGTGCACCATTGTCTACCATACGTACCAGAAAAGCCTGCTGCAGAGCTTCTAGTTGCTGCTGTAATTATCGTAGAGACAGATGATGTCACTGCTAGAGGGCAAATGGAAGAGCTTGATGTCATCAACGTTAGTGTTATTCACGTCAAAGCAGCAGTGCTCTAAAAATCTGTTTTTACAGAAGCAGCACACCTGCACATTCACTTTTGTTTGGAAACTCTAGACATACTGAAAGCTGTGTTATTTCTCAGACAAATACAGTTGCAAATGTTGAATTGTTTCTTTAATGTACTTTATTGCAGTGCCTCAAGTTGCTTGGAGACAAGATATTTTCTAATCACAAACAGTCTGCAGACTGTACAAAGAAAATTGTAAATATGGCTGAAAAGTTAAAAAAGGCAAATTTGTCTGACACATACAACCTTTTACTCCACTGGAGAAATTTTACTTGATTTAATCACAAGACTAAATGCCTTTACTATAGGTGAGATTCAGGGCCTACTTTACTAATGTATTGCATCTTTAATGTACCTTCATCTGTTCTGAAGTTACATAATCTGAACCTGTTCATTACATTCTGTGTAACTTGTGTTCATTGGATCCTTTCTAAAAGTGCAGGGACATTTTCAAATGATAACAGAAAGGTGTCCCTACAATAAAATTCCTTCATGACAGCTGCTGCTGCAACTGGAATATCCTCATCTTCTGAAATGCTGTGTTACAGCTTAGTCTTGAGTAGCATAAACCACAAAAGATATCTCAGACACTTCACATTTTACTTTCTGTCTGAATGTACTTCTTTTTATAAGAAGGAATCTTGAAAAAAAAATGACCCATTCTACTTCTTGTGGAGTACAACCAACTGGCTACAATTCCTGAAAACCAGTTCTTACTGCGCATTACCAGTCAATGATGCATCTTCACTTGTCAAGCATCTGACTGCCTCAAATAAAAGATGTACTCCATTTATCCTTAGGTGGGTGCCAGCAGCACTGTGAACTGCCTCAAATAAAAGATGTACTCCATCTATCCTTAAGTGGGTGCCAGCAGCACTGTGGCCATGGTAATACAGAGCTCAGCATCAAGTAACCACTGAGCATATATAAGCATTTTGTATATATATACATATATATACATTCATGAGCCAGGATGAGTTTTGCATTTGTTCTGAACTCTTCCCCACTGTGAGTACAGTGCTAATAGTAACCAAGCCAGCTCAGGCTTGTTTCCTTAGACCTGCTGTAATAATTTTGACTGCAATACAGACATTCCTTAAAGTTTTTGAACTGAGGATCAGAACTGCTAGCTGAAGCTAGTGCTACAGATCTAAACCATCTGATTAGGGACAGCCTTTCATCTTTTTGGCAGCTTTGCCCCAAATTGTTATACAATAAAACAACCTGACAATGTAAAAATCAAATCCATCTGTTGATTATGACATTTCTTATATTAGGTAAAATGGAAATGTCATGGATGGTACAAAAAACCTTTTCCTGAGTGGGAAGTGCTGTTTCAAAAGGTGGACACTTCAGTAGCTGAAGTTACACAAGAAAACACAATGTTCGAATAGTGCTGTATTCCCACAAGCCTTTGCTACTCTCTTTGATTTATGCTATTTAATATTTATATATAACTACATCTCATTTTAGACACGTCCATAGCTGTAATATTGAGGCCTGATCTCTAGATCAGTGGTAGCTGACCCAAGCTCCTGGGTTCCAAGTTGCAATCCACAGTTGTAAGCAAAAGTCAGTCCAGAAGCAATATACTGACATTGCTGTGATGCTGTGCCTGAGCTGAGCAGCTCCATCTCTCAGCTTTTTCTAGACTTCTGAATCTCAACAGGACACATTAACTTGAACTCATTATATCTGTTGGGCTGAACCTGCTGTTGGCATCTGACTGTATAATAGTCTCTATTTTTACAGAGGCTTCTCCATGATAATGTAGTTCACAGTATCCTTTGCAGGGCTACAGCTTAAAAAGTCTTGATTCAGCCCTTGAAACATATGACAATAAGCAGGATTTTATACAGCAGTATTAGTGGTTATTATACAGTATGGTAGTTTATGACACTAGAGAGCAATTACAGAAAAACATTCCCTGTTATTAGGAGCTTACGATCTAAACAAAATAAATTGCACAGAACAGGTCAACATGCAAAAAACCAGAATCACTCTTTTCTTACTTTCAGCACATATCTTGCTAACACACAGGATTTTGAATAGAGCAAGGAGTTAAAGGAGTTATTGTAAATTATAATTAAGTGTAATGTAGAGAATGATAGCTTGAGGAATTATTGTAAGAGTGGCTCAAAGAAATACAATTATAGAAGGGACCTGAAGCAGGACAGAGAAGAGATGCATTGTAGAAAAGAGGCAGGGCAAAGGGTCATTCATGACTGGGAGCTTAGAAAAATAGGAAAGCAATGTAGCACCAGAAAATAGATTTTAATATATTTGCTTATCCATTTTACTGAAGTTGTGTACACTGACCAATGCACTAAGCTGCATTCTTGATGCCTGGATATGTGACAGAGATTCTCCCAGTTTCTACTCATTTCAGTGATAGCTGTGGTAGTGTAACTCCTTTAAAAATCTGGCTGAAGGCTTCTATTAGCTGAAGGCCAAGGTCAAAACTCATGCATAGATTTGCATGAATAAATTCAGAAACAGTGTGTCCAAGTGCTGGTATGAATCTTTTTCATACAGTAATTGCAGCTTCTGCTCACTGAGAATATTTTCCTGTGCATTAACAACAGCCATTTATAAGAAATAAGGAAAAGATTACAGACTGCTGTTTTGAAGAAAGACTCATGGAGCAGTGGAGGGCTAAATGGTAATAGGCAATATAAAAAAAAAAAAAGCATAGGCAATAGCATCCCTTTACCCCACTGGTTGATGTAAGATTGATTGATAGTGGTAGCAAACTATAAATTGGAGTAGTTCTTAACAATAATGTATTTTTACAGTATTTCTTGCTGCAGATATTTTGAATTTTAGGAGCTAGGCCACAGATACTTCAGCTCTTCAAATTTATTGAATATACTTTGGAGATTCATTTGACCAGAACAAACTGATGGATATCAGCAACTTCAGTTATTGCTCAATGTTTAGCTGATCTCTCTTTCATTTATTTACCTTCCCTTTAAACATCCTGGTAATTTTTTCTGCACCTGCAGTGTCCATAATGATAAAGGAGGTAGAGCAGTACAAGGTTGAAAAATGACAACAAGCCAACAGCAACTTTAAATCCAATAAAAATATCTGTGAAGAACAAGCAATAAAGGAAAAAGAAGTTAACAAAAGACATATATATATATCATTTTAGATGCAGAGATAACAGCATAATTACAAATCTGTACAATGGAAGTATAGGTACATTTTGTTCATATTTCTGCAAGGTCACATTTACTGATATATGGAATGTAAGACCATATACTTCAGTCCTGGAAATGCACTGTTAACTTCCTGTGCATGCATAAATCTTACTTCTTGGTTTTCACAGGGCAAGAGAGACTATGAATAGTTAATGCAAACAAAGAGTTTCATCAGGGATCAGCAAAACAGTGGACATATGCAGAGAGGGGGAAATACCAGACTATTGGAAAGTAACATGCATTGCCTTGCTCTTCTCATCCCTCCTGGAAATAATATTCAGGCAGGAAGAGGTTATCAGATCTCAGCTGTTGGTAGTCCAAGGCACATAGCCACTATATTTGCATAGATGAGCTGCACTCTGTATAGTCAAGGTCAAGGTATCCCATACATAGTACATGCACCAGAAATACAGATGCACCAATCTTGCCATGGATTTGCAAACTATTTTTACTTTGCATCTACAGAAGGTCTGATAAATCCAAGATACACAAGACCTTTGCCTAGCACCCACACCCACACTTGTTTTCAGAGAAATTTAATTTCTTTCCTCATCCATAGTAAATCTTGTTAAAGGGAAATCTATTGATTATGTGAAAGGTACAAAGTTTGGAGACATCGATACAATTTCTGCCTCCATATCTTGTGTGGAAAATGCAGAACTCTTACACTACCTTTCATTTTGTCTTTCTTCCCACATTCTTTTGACCAATCTTCTGTAATCACAGGAGAAACTAATTCAGCAAACTTCTCAAGTGGACAAGAAGAGGTGCATCCTGGCAGAGTGAGGAGGTAAGGATCCTTTGAAGTGTCATTCCGATAATACATTTCGATGCTATATTGCCTGATTAACAACATTGCAAAGTCTTTTAAAAAAGGTTCTTAAATAGAAGGTTTCCTATTTAGAGACAGAATGTTGGAGATAGGCTCTAACATCCTCCCCTAGAAACTGTTCTTCAGGAATGGAGGCTTTGTGAAAGACATCTGCAAAGCCCAAACCAAAGCTGGTTATATTACTGGTCAGATCACCAGTCATTTGAAAAGGTCCTTCTGAAGGCTTCTTGAATGGCAACAGCACCAGGTACTTCTAAGCCAACTGGTTTACTTTGAGATTTATGAGCTCCCTTGGAAATGTTCTTGCTATCATTTGAAGAATCAGAAAAATTTATTTTACCATTACTTCCATCTGGTATGGCTTGGTTTCCTCTTCTTCCTGTCTTTCAAAGCACACAGATACATGCACATCCAGCAAACATAATTTCTCCTAGTTTTAATATAAATTTGTGCCTATGGACTTCTCAGTGAAGCATAATTTTAAAACAAAATTGTATCTCCTCCCAATATTTGACAGGAAAATTAATTTTGGAAGGGAGGAGTAAATTCTAAACATTCCTCATTCTTGTATAGATAAGAAGATACTTGCCCAGTGCTTTCTTGGTAGAGTTCAAAGAACTGGCAGGCAGCATATGGTGGCAGTTTCCCATTGAAAATATTGAGAGCAATCTGGAGGGCCCCAACTGTGGTGTCATGCTATTGGGGAGAAAAAATCATCTGTCTTTGAAAGTCAGTTAAGTCAACTATCATTTATCCACAGTAATGAGACAAGAGTAGAGAGGGACTGGAGATCAAAAAAGAGAAAACCTGCGTAAATTTGACCATAACAATGTATTCCATATATTCACCATTGGGAAAAACATGTTAACTGATTATTACTACAGACAGCAGGAGGCATTTCCTAAAAGTTACTGCTGTATGTGTCTTACACCATCTGGCAGTGTTTTGGAAGCAGAGATACTGAGGGAAAGCAAGATGTGATCTGAGTAATAAATCTAGTATTTCAGTGCATTTTGCTACTCCTTCCTATAGTAGGGTTTTTTCTTCCAAGGTCAGATTAAGGCAGTGTAAAATAGTATGTCCTATGGCATTTTAAGTACTTTTTTTTAGATGGTATTCCAGACAAATAGTTGTGTACTAAGACTAATCTCCTCACCTCCACACACTTCAGAACTTTTAAAATTGTTGTTTCTTCTGTTTGGACTCATACAATAAGATGTCAGTTTAGCTTCTATTTTGATGGAATCAGTTACCCACCCACCTGCAGTCTCTTCCTCTCCCCATTATCCCTCCTCTTGCAGGGATCTCTGGAGCAGGAGCTGAAGGAAGGAAGTCCAAACACTTTGATGCATAAATTTTGCAAGCATCTTTATATACATATCTCCTAGGCCTATTTATATTATAGTCTAGCAGCTACATTTTAATTATTATTCAGGTTCTAGAACTTTTTAGACTGATAAGTTTCAAAAATAAAATTTGTAGTCAAGGTATTAAAGCAGAAGTGAAAAATCTGGATCTGTTCAAAAAGAATATAGTAGGGCTAAAAAACATGTAGAAAAGACACCAAGAACGATTTAAGATATCAAGTGGTTTATATATGAGGAAAGATTAAAAAGGGTAGGACTCTGTCTTGGAAAAGGAAAGATGGAAGAGCTATGACAGAAAATAGTAAATTCTTGAGTGACCCAGAAAAAGTGAATAAAGATTGACTATTCCCTGTTTCTCATAAGATAAAAAAAAAAAGAGGGAATTCTTTTTTAACTTTAACACCCAAGTCATTGTCACAGGCTGTTGCAAAGGCCAAAAGTATAAATGCGTTTAAAAAACTATTAGAGAAGTTGATGGAAGAAAGTCTGTCAAGAGCTACTAAACACAGTGACACAGATTCTATCACAGGAAATCCCTAGGCCATGTATTGCTGGAAGGTTGTATCACTCTGTGCTGGCATTATTCTCACATTCATCCCTGCCTTTGGCCATTGTTAGAGATGGGATAATTATTGGGCTTGTTCTGATCGAAATGGCCCTCTCCATCCTCTAAAAATAAATAAAATACTAATAAATGAGAAAACTAAAAAGAATCCACAGAGGACAGGTTTGAAGATGTAGCTGAAGTTCTGCTCCATGCCAGTATCTCTGGAGCCCTTAAGGAAAGATGGAACTTAC